GGAAAAATCTTTAATTAAAACTGATACTGAGTTATTAACTTTTCTTCCGCTTACTTCAACTAGAGTTTCTATGATGTAACCATTACTAAATCTCTTAAATTTTCAAAAAACCAACATTAGATTCATGTTCCTCCACCCGATTACTTTTGATCAAACTCTATAAGAAAAAGTTTTTTTGTACAAAAAGTGGTCCATTGTTTAAAAAAATTGATACCTAAAAAAATTTTAAAGAACTAACCTCAAATTCGAGCTCCTCGACCCTGATTACCTTTGATCAAACCTTATAGGGAAAAAAAATTTTGTAAAAAAATGGTCCTCTGTTAAAAAATATTCCTTAAAAATTTTTATAAAAAATTGATTTTTTGTTAAAAAATATTGTTTAAAAAATTTTTGTAAAAAATTGATCCTTTGATAAAACTATCGTTTAAAAAATTTTTGTAAAAAAATATTCTTTAAAAAATTTTTATGAGAAATTGATTTTTTGTTAAAAAATATTCCTGAAAAAATTTTTATAAAAAATTGATTTTTTGTTAAAAAATATTCCTGAAAAAATTTTTATAAAAAATTGATTTTTTGTTAAAAAATATTGTTTAAAAATTTTTGCAAAAAACTTACATCAAATTCGAGTTCCCCGACCTTGATTATCCTTCGATCAACCCTTATAGCAGGAAAGTATTAGCAGTTTTAATCAACCGATCAGAGTGAACGAACGAACGAATTCACGAATTCACGAATTCACGAACGAACGAAGTTTGCTCATTCTGCGTAATACCCTCCTTTCAGTAGAGGGAATTATTTCCATATTATACGGGCACAGAATATTCATGACGAGTCGAAATCAAATAGGAGTTTGTGATGTAATATATTTTGTTTAAACCAGATAAAATAACGTTGATTTTAATAAATTATTTTAGTCGCAATCAGTTACGTCGGATTCTCAACAAACATCAACTGATGGACCAACATTGTTGTATGTGTTTTGTGAATTGTTGAAACTCATAATCGAAAGAATTGTTTATTCTAGAAGGAAATGTTTTAAAAAAAAGAAATTGTTATGTATCATTAATGTTATTATCATTGTTATTTTGTTCGTAACTATTCCAACCGTGATTATTAAAACAAACAAAATAAAACTATCAACTGTGACAACAGAGATAACAACTCAACAATTGACAATAACAACGGACAATCCAACAACACGAGGTATAATATTGATGCGTTAACAATAGAGATTTATAAAAGTCTTTTATACAATTTATAGAATGACATATTAAGAAAATCTATTGACAGACGATGAATATGTGAGAAATGAAGAAGAAAATTAAAATATTTTTTTCAGAAATTGTGCTTTGAAAGTTTACTAGTGTGTAATGTCTCCCATGAAACATCTTGTAATCAAGACATAAAGTAGACAAAGATGATTAGATCTTGCAAATTTAGGCAGAAGTAAGTGTAATGTGATCTTGTGTACACATGAATTTGATGTGATTAAGATATATGCACGTTGGTTTTTGACACTTGTAGAAGATATCGAATGGATTTATTTCTCAAGTATTTTGGAGCATCCATACACGAACTATAGTGATTATATTAGACCATGTGTATCTTGATTAAGATCTTATAAATCTATATCAAAGATCAAATTACAAATCTAAATGCAGAATAATAATAGTATTTTGTATCTAAAGTTTCAAAATCTTTTTATTTTTGTGAACCGTGATCAAGATCTTTCTGAGAGGATGCTCGTTAAGAGTATAGTATTTTCAAAATTCCGATAGTAAACTAATCGAGAAACATCTATGAAAAATATCGTAGAATACATAGTGGCGCCAGTATAAATATGACAATCTATTTTCTCTTGACTCTTGATCCGCTTGTTCAAAAGAAAAACAAAAATATATTTTTATTCAGTTTCTTTGTTATTTAATATTAAAGATAGAAGTTAACTCATCTCTTTTATTTAACTAATTCTAATGATAAATTGTTTTTTTGTTGATTTTATTTTCAAAAAGTATCAAAGATCTTTTATCGAGTCATTCATTCGTTCATGCCGGAAATGAATATAAAGTAATTCAAAACTTTCATCTATTGTATATATGATATGTGTATACTATGTGTACATATATATATATGTATGTATATGTACTTATATATTTATGTAATTACTATAAGTGTTTAGAAAGGATTTTCATGGCCTACTTGATACTACCAGGGTCTAGTAGAGACTACAAGGGACCAGTAGGAAGTACTAGGGACTACCATGATCAATAGCTCCGCTCTCACCCATATCGAGATGATGCGCTCTTTGCAGGTATAACAGATTCACCTACAAGCTCACACTCACAGCCTCACTGGCACGTCCATACCCTCACCTCGACACCCATATCATCACTCCGGCACCCACACTCACACCCTCAAGAGCTTTCCAAAAATCAAATGGAATTTCGTTATAAGAATTAATTCTATTTGTTTTGTTCTGACATTTTTGGTTAAATCGATATTGTTAGATTTTAATTGAATATCAAATCTTTTTTCTTCGCTGTTAGTACAAAGCAAGCCAAAATGTGACAAATGGAAACAACGTGGAATTACTGTTGCTGGAGGAAATAAATTCGGATCTCAATTAAATCAACTCAATGCTCCTCATGGAATCTATATCGATGATAGCAAAGCCATTTTGGTTGCTGATCTTATGAATCATCGTCTTGTGGAATGGAAATATAATGCAAAGGAAGGACAAATCATTGCAGGTGGAAATGGAGAAGGAAATAGCCTGGATCAACTCAGTTTCCCAAACGACGTAACTGTTGACAAAGAGAAGAATGCGATGATCATATGTGATGCTGGGAACGAAAGAGTGATGCGATGGTATCGTCAAAGTCAAACAAATCCACAACTTCTCGTTTCTGGTATTTACTGTGGTGGTGTGGCAATAGATAAAGATGGGTCTATTTACGTTTCTGATAACACAAAGTCTGAAGTGAGACGATGGAAAGAAGGCGACTCAGATGGAACACTAGTTGCAGGTGGCAATGGCGGGGGATATCTTCGGAATCAATTAAAGAGACCTGACAAAATCTTTGTTGATAAAGAATATTCTGTTTATGTAGTGGATTCCAAAAATCATCGTGTGATGAAATGGAAAAAAGAGGCAAAAGAAGGAATTGTTGTTGCTGGTGGAAACGACCCTGAAAATGGGCTCAACGAATTAAGGCTTCCTTATGGATTGGTTATTGGTAATTTGGGTTACATCTTTATTGCAGATTCTGAAAACAATCGAATAATGCAATGGTATGAAGGAGATACAAAAGGTTCAATTGTTGTTGGTGAAAATGGTGGAGGACATGAATCAAATCAATTAAATATTCCCAGAAGTGTGGAATTTGATGTTGAAGGAAATCTTTATGTTACTGATTCTCAGAATCAAAGAATTCAAAAATATGAACTATGTACTGAATAAAATGAAAATTATTTTATTTTGAAAATAATTCAATTATATTCACATAACAGTATACTGATGCAAATTAATAATCATGAAAACAACAAGTTTTTTTCTTCAACGGATAGAGGTATAAGCCGTCAGTCGATTTTTGCCAAAGCCGATGGCTTACACCTTTAATCCACAGAATAATATCAACGTATAGTATTTTTATTGAAACATCTGCAACAAAACACAACATTAAAAATAATCGGTAAATAAGAACAAGAAATTTTGCTTCTTTTTTCGAAGCTGATTTTTGAACTAAATCTTATCATATGTCAGCTATGATATGCTGTAAACAGAATACATATTCATGATATTAAAACTTTGGAGGAAGGATATGAAAGAAAAACATTGAAAGTCGTCACTTATAGAAGAAAATGCAACGTTTTCTAAAAGAGAAAACAGAATTTATTTGAATAACATATTTTGTTATTTTATATAGAACTGAAAAAACAAATACATCGATTAGAAAATCTATTTTATAGCTGATCATGATATATTCGATAATTTCTGAATAGGTGGATGTAAGTGTAATTGTAAGGTGAGATCTATCTACAATTAACACTCACGCAGTCATTAACACTCATTCTCACCCTCAAATTACAGGTAAATATAAACCATCGAAACTCTTTTTTTCAGATTTTCAAATAGTTTGTAGTTCTTTATACTATTTAGGACATTTAGATCGATTGAAAGCACGCGTTCAAACGATCAACAACTGTGTTGGCAACTGATTGAGTATCTGTATCAGGTAATAATGGTAAAGCCAATGTGATTATAAAGATATATAGATGTGCGGAATGTATTTCTAATTAAAAACTACTAATCGCTGCTTTTTCTTTAATCAATTACTTCAGTTCACTAGTATTTTGGAAGCAGGCGATATTTAATCAGTGTTTTGATCTTTTATTTCCCAGAGTTCTGCTAGTGACGTCAAATTCTAAAATGGTTCGTTGTCGGCACAACACAATCATCGCAAAATGACTTTAAAGTGGTTTTATCATTACATATCTAGTTGTATGAAATAATCTTTGATATCTATGTTTATTTGAAGTTTTCTAGATTATGTAGCAAATAAATGCGCATAAAAGTAGTGAGAGAGTATCGTTTTGGATACTCAAACCCTAATTTGTTTTCGTCTCTGATTTCTTTCCAGTACCATCTAGGAATTTATGAATACGGTTCTGTTTGGACTCTAACTTGAACTCAGATCGACTACTACATCATTTTTTCTTTATCATAACTTTTATCGTCTTTGTATCTGAACATGTAGAGAACCATGATGTTGAATATTCTAAGTGCACGCAAAAAAGAAATCAATATTTACTTATCACTTGTTATTTGCATCTCTATCATCATCAGTCTCTGAATATTTAAATCTTTTGGAACACAAACCTGATAAAAAGCAAAATATACGTTGATGATGTGTTATTGATGTGAAGTAAATCAAAAACAAAATTACACAAAAACTAGAGCAATACATAGTAAGTATAGAGTGTTCTGAGAGAAATATTGTATGAATTTCTTTGTCTATTCAAAAATTCTTACATCATTCTGCATTGAGTGGATTTATTTTTGATCAGAAAATATTCACCTTTTTCTACAATAAGCAAGCGTAGTAGATAAGAGATATGAAAATCAGTTCTATTCGACAGGTTTATGTTTTTAACTTCAAACTAAAACAAAAACATGTGAAAGAAAAGGAAAACATTTTTATGTTCATCATCATTGATCTAAATGATTTGTACGAAAAAATTTTCTCTTTAGAATCTCAAAGTTTCTCGAAATGCTGACTTTCCTCGTCTAAAAAATCATGTTTAGGATGAAATCATTCTTCAAACATTTGTAGCAAACACAACATCAAAGTCATGTATAAATAACACCGTTTACTTTCTTCCATAATCATGACAGATATTAATTATCATAAAAATCAAACTCTTGAGCATCTGATAAGTGCTCAAACACGGATGCATGTTGTGTGAAGACTAACATTTAATATTATTCTGCAGAGAAAACATTCTAAATCATTACGTTTAATGAAATGCGCAAATTCTCCGAAGAAAATGAGAAAACTGGAATCAAGTATTTGCTAAATTGATCCCGAAAATTGCACAACATCTTGAGGATGTGGATGTGATGTAGTTGAAATGGATAGATACTTCGTCACATCCACACCCTTATATTTGTTAAATACAGATAAAGTTCAATAATTAACTGTTAAATTAAGTTCCGATAAACAAATTCAATTTATTATCAATAGAATAACTCTGTATCTTTCTAGATTTCGATTACCTGTCGTAGTTTATTTATTTTATACAATATTGAATGATATTCTCATATTCAGAGAATATAAAAATAATAAAATACAATCTGACTTCAGTATTTTCTTTATTTTTGTTTTTAGAAGATACTGTTAGGTGGTATTATCATTTTACGTCATATATGTATAGTTTTTTTTCGGTCTGTTGTTACGTATACATATATCATGTATAGTGTGATTCATCATCTCCTTCTATATGTGTGTTCTCGTTCTCTTCTCTATCGTTCATGGATTTTGCCTTTCGTTATGCTATATGGATTTCTCCTCTCCTATCGTTTACATATGTGGTGCTATATGCTATGGGACTTTTCATCATCTTGTTCCCTTGATCTCATGTTGGACATATCCCTAACAGGGTGTTCCACCATTCTATATATAGCGTGTGTTTTTCTTCGAATAAAGAGAGGTATAGGATTCACATCCTCACAAAGTACAGTTGATATTTTGAGTCAACTTTATGCGATAGCGTTTTCATCTATATCTTTTAGGATTTTTCAGAAAAGAAATCTATAGCTTGAGAATATTGGGTATGGGTGAGGGTGTTTATGCGAATGAGTGGCTATTATCCGCCTGCGTGACTAGTCATGAAGGTCACGCAGGTCTGTATAATATATATTCAAAAAAAAGTTTAATTTAAAAAAAGGATCCCATCATGCCCTGCATCTTGACATGCTCTTTCAAATAAAAAAAATATATAGATATTGTTCGAGTCTAGACAGAGAAATTTGGGTTGCGCGTTTGGAAAACCATAAACTGAGAAAAAGTCAAAAATTTTTTTTGATTTTTGAAAAAACAGCTTATTTTTCGAATAGGGAGTGTCAGAAATTTTGAAAAATTTTTGACAAAAATGAGATATCGACTAAAAACTTTTTTCATTTATGAAAGAGCAAATGACAGGCTATTTTCCTATGCATTTATCTCAATTTTCATTTGTTTGAAAAAAATTGACTTTTTTCGAGGGGGGGATGGCCTTAAACAAAGAATTGATATTTGAGAATGTCTCCAACTTCGTTGACGGAAAGTAAAGTTTTAAAAAGAAAAGCATTACAAAAAAAGAAAAATATAGTAACATTTCAAGATTTAATTAAATGAATATACTCTTTTCATTTCTTTTATTACTGAGAAATTGGCAAAGACTTCTCTGCTTTTTCGTTCGTGAGTTTAAATATAAGTTATAAAAAACCGATATGGGCATAATATTAATAAAAGCGCATATTTTATCGATTGTGAATGCATTTTGTACTCGACAAAGAACTGTATGAAAGCGTTTAAATGTATATTTATAATGACGTGAGAACGTCACTTCTCTATCACGTTCTTTTATTAAATTGCTTCGCTCAAGTTAGAGTTTTCTCGATTTTTTCTTTAGGCATGATTTTCACTCTATAATTTTTTATTCTCGATAGAAAAACATCTGTCGTTTAGTGATATTCTCTATTTTACATTTCATTTTTATATTTAGGATATGGGTGTGAGTGTCGGTGTAGATGTATTAAAATAAGAAGTAGATCCAAACCCACACTCTCAAGATGGTTTTTCATTAAGTAGATAATAGTTAGGACTCATGATTTTCGCAATCGGATGTACGTGTGAGTGTGAGCGAATGAGAGTCTCTATTCTTTAGCTACACGCAAACCTACCATTTAGAAGAGAAATTGTATTACGCTCTAACATTTATTTCTTTTCATAATTACAAGACAACAACAAACAAAAAAAGAACAACTATATGGATAAATTTTTGACTCACCATACAAGTACATTAACATAGTGAAAAGGAAACTTACAACATCAAAAGCAAATAAATTCGAGTTTATGCACGAGTCAGTATAATTCTGGGTCGATTGTTGTCACAGTGTTACTGAGAATGACTTACCCCATTAATTGGTGCCACAATTTCGTAAATAATCCCTTCACATCTTTACGAAAAGCTTTTGATGCCACCAAGTATGTATAAAAAGGGACAGCGTTATTGACGTAAATAAATACTGATCCAAGATTTAACAAGAACAGTTCGATTTGACGATACAGAGGACTCTTCTGAAGACCTATATAATTAGTTATTCCAATCTCCAAATTGATCAATGGAAAGGGAATATTTGTCGACACATAAACAGCACTTTCAACAAGAACCATGAATAATAATTCTCGATCTCGACGAGTGACAATGGTACTGCCATTGTTACCTGCAGTCGCGTGACCTAACGGTTGAACACGTGCATGCAAACGGTTCATAATACGATAGCTTCGTACACCAAAGACTACCATCAATAATGGTGGAATGATACTAGCAACAATTAGAGTGTAAACAAAATATATAATATTGTAAACACCAAATTGACTACAGAGTCCATTTTCGATTTTTGTTAGAATGGCCACATGAATGCCTACTATATGCCAAAAAACAACGATACCTCCAATAATACTTCGTATAACAACCGGTCGATTGATGATTCGATAACGAGTATTGTTTGCAACTAGAAAATAACGATCTATAGATGCAACACAGATCATATATCTTCCTATCTGACTCCATACATGACCAGAATAGAATCGTAGTTTACACAGATCCATATTCAAGGTTACTATATCTGGACCAAACGTGGCATACACTCTTGACCACACATTCACAATAATATTAAGACCATTAAATATTGCA